CCCCAAAACCCCAAAACCCCAAAACCCCAAAACCCCATAGATTAAATATTATAGAATAAATAAAATGAGCACTAACAATCTAGGCTACAGCATGGATGACCTGTTTGGCCTAACTCGTAAGTTTCCTTGTCAAAAGTGGATATAGTCACATTTGATCCCCTGAAGGATATGTTGACAAATATTCTTAAACGTCAGAATGAACTTGACATTGAGTTGAAGCTCATGAAAGACAGTATGAATGAGAAGATATCCCCAGGCGATATTGAAAAGACCAATTCCAAACTAACATGGCTGGTGAATAACACCGAGAACCAGATACAGAAGCTATCAGGTACGAAACTTACTTCATTCTGTCAAAAATTCTAATCTCTCTATAGCCAAAGTCGACTCAAATGTAAGCAAGAAGATTTCTTCATATTTGATTAAATAATATAGAGCAGGAGCACAGAGTATAAACTTGAGCAACAATTAGCTATGAACTCTTCTTTATCAGGGAAAGTCCATGAGCAAGCACAAAAATAATAAGGAATTCAATGAAATCTTCAAGGATTTAGAGGCCAAATCTGTTAGAACCGATGCAAGGATAGACGATCATATCCTTCAGTTTGAAAACTACAAGATGCACTCAGAGACAGCAAGATGGAAAGCTCTAAACGAGAAGCAAGACAATGAAGAGGTTAGCCAAGCCGTTGTGCAGAAGATCGAAGACATGGTCGATTCTGTATCAAAGAAGGTCCAGAGGCAAAGCAGTGCTCATACTCAATTTCAGGATAAAATCGGTGATTTAGAGACTAAAGTGATTCTTTTAATCCAGGCAGCTAAAAACAGCAAAGCTGGAAAGGACAACTCCAGCTTATTCGAAGGAGTTGGAGATGTAGTCTCAGCAGTAGACCACTTAAAAGAAATGATGAGAGGACAATATGCTCAACTAACTGAGTTTAAAGAATGTGAGCAGCAGGTAGAAATCCTTAACAAGTTCTTCCTCGATGAGAAAGAATTCAAAATTCAGCAAGAAAAAGCTAAAAATGAGCTAGAAGATAGAATCAGTGATATCAGAGCTGAATCAGACAAACTCATGGAAGAGATTACAAACTTGAAAGAAGAGAGGTTTAAAGCTTTTGAAAACCAACTTGTAGAGAAAGTTGATTATTCTGAATTTGAAGCCACCGTTAACAATATTCAAAATTACTTTGAGAATAACCCTAGTGAAGTCTCAGTAGAATCGAGGATGAAAGATTCACAATTTTCCAAGGCAATTTATGAGAATAAGTCTGGGCATCAAAAAGATAATGAAACTGATTCCTTAACTGAAGATGAAGATATTGAGGTAAAATCGACTCCTCGACTAGACAAAGATTCTCCTCCAGTGAGTAGGAATAATTCTAGAGACAGGACTCCTGAGAATTTTGGACAAGCCAGGCCAATTCTTACACTCAAAAAGGTGTCTCACCAAGAAAGTATCAAGAACGAGACTGGCTCAATTAAGAGTCCTACAACGAAGAGGAACTTTAGAAAGAAGAAGATTATTCTCAAAAAGGGTCCCTCCTTCATTCCTAAAGAGGCTGTAAGAATGAAAGAATTTGAAAGGAAAATCAAAGATATCGATGAAAAACTCGTCAATATCATCAAAAACTCCAAGAATGACATAATCCCTATTATCGAGAAGAGGCTTGATGGAATCAGGGAGGAAATTGAGAACAAAGGTAAGAGAAGTTATTTTAGAAGCCATATAAATTTTATAGCATCCAAATTAGACCTGAAAAAGATCATGTCTGATGTCCAGTATTTTACAGAGTCAAGCAAACAGATGAATGATGAAATCTCAGCATTTAAACAAGAAGGCCTTGTAGGCGAAAAAGGCAAGAAGATTGAGGAAGAAGTATCCCTCACTTCGAGTAAACTTGCCCAGCTTGAAGGGAAATTTACATGGCTCCATGAGGCACATAAAGATCTTAAGACTAAGACTAACGAATCTCTGAAAGCTTCTCAACCCCTCATGATGAGCAATATTGACATGAACAAGATGGTGGGAGAGGAAGCTTTTAGTGAAATAAGGGAGGAAATCCGAAAGCTTGACAGAGAAATCTCTGATCTCTCCACAAGTTTGAAATATACTACTAATGATCTCAAGTCTAAAATAAATGAAAAAGTCGATGATAGAAATCTGAATGAGCTAGAAGATCAGCTCACTACAGATATGGATCAAATCATTCGCAGTAAGATTTTTCTTTAAAATCTAGGCTTTAACCGAAGATTTGCTGAGAAGCAAGATACTAAGAAGAGCATTAGACATATAGAGAGACAGATCAGAGTTATACATGAGACTGTTGGAATTGGAGGCCCAAATTTCATGAACAATAGGTAAATTTTCAGTGATTTAGAATCTAGGCTCACCAATGAAGATAATAATTTCGCCACCAAAAATATCAGAAGAGGCAGTGCAGACATCTTTGGCATGGAAGAGGAGGTTGAAAGAAGCAGAGGAAACCCTCATGAATTTAGAGGTGGAGATCCTTCCATGACCTTCAACTTGAAATCACCTGACTTTGACAAAAGCTCAATCAAAAATTTGAAAAAGGAAGTTAAAATTGGGAAAACTGGTGTAGAAAAAATAACTGTCCCTCTGCAAGGAAGTATAACTAGTAGGATTTATAAAGACAAAAACTTGGATTTGAACAAGACTCCTCAGGGATCTCCTAAGGCTGGGAAACCTATCTTGGATAATTTGAAAGGGCACAAGCCTACCAAGTCCCTTAGCAAGGTTAACTTGATATATCCAAAAGACATGGAAAAGGCACAAAGGTCCAATTTACCAGAGATTTAATGAATATCAACGCTTGACTATATTAATGGGGTTTTGGGGTTTTGGGGTTTTGGGGTTTTGGGG